AGCTTGTTCTAAGTAGGTGCTTTAGACCACTGAGCCATCTCACCAGCCCCATATCCTATATATTCTTTAAAAAGAAGGAATTTCTATCATTTGTGACAACATGAACAAATGTACAGGTCATTATACTATATGAAATAAATCAGGCACAGAAAAATAAATACTGTATGACTCACTTATAAGAAGAATCCAAAACACCTGAACTCATGCACAGAGTAGAATGTTGGTTACTAGCAGCTTGTGGGAGTAAGTAAAGGGAAGCTGTTAGCAAAGGGTACTGTCTCAGTGACTTTTCTCTCATTGCTGGGACAAATACCTCGACACCCAAAATGAAGGAAGGAAAGGTTTATTTGCTCAGTCAGTGGAGGTTTCAGTCCATACTCAGCTGGCTCCAAGACACGGGTAGATAGCAACCTTTCTTGGCAGCAGCAAAGAGCAAAGAACAAAGGGCGTGGCAGCAGCTCAGGCAGCTAGCTAGCCTCTCTCCCCTCCTTACATTGTAATGCAAATTATCTGCCCCAGGGCCAGTGCAGCACACACACCCAATAATCAATCACATACTCCATGACTGCATGAGGCTTTGGGGGGACAACTAGACACAAACCATAACAGTTATAAAGCTTCAGTTAAATGAAAGAAGCTTCAGTGATCTTCTGCACAGCACGGTTACCACAATTAGAATAGTATGTTGCATATTTCAAAACTAGTAAAAGAGACCTTAAGTAACCTCACTTCAAAAAAGTAGGTGAGGATGGCAGATACATTAGTTTGACTTAATTGTTCTACAATCTATACAAATATTAAAATATTACATTTATCCCAGTTATATACATTTTTTTTTCTTGTGGAACCAAGGATTGAACTCAGGCCCTTGCACTTGCCAGGGAAGCGTTTATTCCACTAAGCCATCTCCCTGGCCCCCCAGTTATATACAATAACTATCTACTGGAAAAATCAGACTTCTATCTTCTTATCTTCTTCACAAAGTATCTAATCACTTTCACAATGTCAGCTAAGGGGTCCCCTCAGATCTTACAAAGAGAACACAAACCGGTAGAGTTCTTAATCTTAAAGTATAATAGCCACATGTGGTGGTATACTCCTGTAATTCCAACAATCAGGATGCTTAGGCAAAGGGACTACTGTGAGTTCAAGGCCAACCTGGGCTGAATAGTTCAAGGCCAAGTTGGACTACAACATGAGATCCTGTCTCAAAAACCAAAAATAAATGGTATAATAAACCACCCTCAAATTTAATCCTAAACTGTCACTGGAGAGATGTCAACTTTGGTTAGGATGGCACAGGAAGAATCCAGGTTTTGTGGGATATGGATCTTATACCACTGTGAGAGAGATTTAAGAATATAAAATTATACATACAAAATAAGCCAAAAGACCATGCAAGGGACCCAGACAAGCAAAAGAGCTTGAATTTAAGCTTCTTTTTTCTTTTTGCGGTACCAGGGATTGAACTCAAGCCCTGCACTTGCCAGGCAAGCACTTATTCTACTGAACTATCTCCCCAGCCCTACTTCTTTAATTTCATATTAAATGCACTTCTAGCTTCTAGTACCTATTAAATTAAATTCTGAACTAGTAATACAGCTGAAAACATGTATGCAAAAATGTTAACCTGTTGAGTGTTGTGGTGCATGCTTGTAATTCTAGCACTCAGTAAGCTGAAGCTAAAGGATTGCAGTGAGTTTGAAGCCAACCTAGGCTACATAGCAAGTTTAACATCAGCCTGAACTATGTACATAGTGAGACTCTGTTTTAAAAAACAAATAAAACTTTAGGGCCAGGGAGCCTGGCCCTAGCTCAGGCCTTTAAGTGGCTGCTTCCACAAAGCTGTCAGCCTCAGGTTGCTGGAGTTCGAACCTCACACCTCTCCCGCTGGCCA